AACAAATCTCCAACACAGCTCCAATTCATTTGACAAAGTTGATCAGTTGAAAGAATCTCCAATTATAAAACCAAAATAATGATGATAATAGTAATACAAATAAGAACACAGCGCTGACCTCAAGTAACACTCCCAGTTATGAGAAATGTAATTAACATCATCGTAAGCCCGTCAATTGTCAAAGCAGTGACTCAAAACTCAAAAACCTCCATGACGGAGTCACACACACTGGAAATGCGATCCCGCCTTTCATCATCCACCCATCGTTGACTCATCCAGTTCGCAACTCGGCTCCTTCAATTATGCATACGCGTTCGTCACGTGGCCCCCCCGCGATGTTACTGGGCTCAGAAATGTGTCAAACTAATAGACCGGCGCCACTTGTCCACACATTCCCCCGACCTTGGCTGTGGATAATGACCTTCAGCTGTTGGATGTGGAAAAACCGAACGGTGAAATGCGACTTTCTGTCCCGGCGGCCTAGCTTAAGGCTAAAATGGCCGGCACGCCCTACCCGTTGCGGAATACCGCCTGCGGCATCGCTGCGCTCTTTGTTTCCCCTCTCTTACTGTACTGTACCCGATGACATGATTCACATTTCGGCCCGCCACCAAGATAAAAGAACTTCCTCTTTGTAGTTGTGACACACATGGCACATGAGAATTGCTTCCCGCTGGTACTTTTATAACAAGTACATGTATGATCTTGTCTTTGACTAGAACGGGGTCAATTTATCACTCAGGTCTCAAGGGGGGCGCTGGTCCCGTGAACAGAACAAGCAGAGGGAGTATTCCGGAATTCACGCTCTTTCATCTGTCTCCTCTCACACTTAGAAGAAGAGTTGTTATCATCTACTAGATTCTACACCCTGTCCTCTTCCTCAGCTCCCCCATCCGATCGCGCAATCTTATCTGCATGGAAATTGATCATGATTTGTCTTCGCTGGCCTTTCGGTAAATATGTCATGTGCAGAAATCTGTCCCCTAAATTTGATGCCAACTTTCCTGAACCTTAAATCTTTTTTCTTGGCTGCACCCGCGCTAAAGTTCACATTCACAGAGTGGCCAACCTAGAGAAATTCACTTCCTGAACAATTTATCCGAATTTTCAAATGTTTTCAGTTCTGCCAAGAGCATGACACGGTGTGTTTAATATTAATGCTTCAAAGAATATTATCTCATAAAATTAATATAAGAAGTGACATTTCAACAATGCGCATACACACACACACACACACACACACACACACGTATAAAGGTAGGACACTAAATATATTCACATGAAGGCATTTTCAAGCGCCAAAATAAAAACAAGGCGGCCCGGTAGACCAGTGGTGAGTGCGTCGACCTCACAGTGCAGAGGTATCGGGCTCAATTCTAG